TTGGAAATTGCCCAAAAGCTAATTTAGAAATATAAATGGAAATAGTAACAAATGATATGATATATGGCATTTTATAATATTTCATTATGACTTTTTTCTGTACAGACATTTACAATTATATTTATTTTCATTAGAGATCATACTTTATGTCAAGTTTGATATCAGAGAAACATTTACTTATTTATTTATTTTGAGTCAGAGTCTCACTCTGTCACCCAGGCTGTAGTGCAGTGGCACACTCACAGCTACCACAGTCTCGACCTGCTGGGCTCAGGCGATCTTTCTGCTACATCCTTCCAAGTAGCAAGAACTACAGGCGCGTGCCACCATGCCCAGCTAATTTTTTTATTTATTGTAGGGACAAGGTCTTGCCAAGTTGCCCAGGTTGGTCTCAGACCCCTGGGCTCAGGCAATCCTCTCGCCTTGGCCTCCCAAAGTGCTGGGATTACAGGCGTGAGCCATCATGTCCAGCAGAGAAATGCTTCTTAAAAGTTTACAGTGTTGAAGGACCCTGGGATAGTAATGCTACCAAAGTCAAACCAGAACATTTTTGAGTGAAAGACCACAAAACCTGTAAATCTAGATTATCCTAGACAGGTGAGGTTGCTTACCTTAATACTTTGGTTGCCTTATTAATTTTTCAAAAATTGCATACAGTCATGTTTATTTGTTTGGTTTTCAAAGTAACAATGACATGGAGGGGGGCAGGAAAAAATGGAATTATTATTTGGAGGGCAGGCCCCTTGTACAGGCTTCCCCTGCTAGGTAGATATTCCAAGAACTCATCGGCATCCGTGTACCATGTACCAGCTAGTGTTGTTGTCAGAGGCTGCAATCGACTTCAGTGATTTTTTTCTTTGGAGATTTTTTCAACATGTTTTCCCATCTCATGATGGGTGATTTATGAGTGCAGCTGCTCACACTGCACTGAGTGTTCAGCAGTTTTTGACCAAAAATGGCTTGACCCCAATGCCCCACCCTCCCTATTCACCAGTATCACCCGGCGACTTTTTGTTTGTTTCCCTGATGAAAAAGGTCCTCAAAGGGAAAAATGTAGCCCATGTGGAAGAGATTAAACAAAAAATGGGAGAAGCACTAAAAGGCATCAAATTGATAAGTTCAAAAACTGTTTTGAGCAGTGGAAAAAGTATCTCAATAGATGTATTGCACCAAATGGAGAGTACTTTTAAGGTGACAGAAGTTCAAACATGTAAGAATAAATACACACTTTTTATAAATAAATCCTGGATTGTTTTTGGGTCCCCCCTCATACTTGGGAAATCATACTTAGGAATAAGTTAAGTTCTTGCCGTCTCTAAGAATCACTCAGTTAGCCGGGCTCGGTGGGCAGCCTGTAATCCCGCACCTTTGGGAGGCTGAGGTGAGTGGATTGCCTGAGCCCGCGGGTTCGAGACCCGCCTGGGCAGCGAGACCTCATCTTCACAATAAATCAAAAAATCAGCCGGGCGTGGTAGCGCATTCCTGTAATTCCGGCTACTTGGAAGGCTGGGGCGGAAGGATCCTCGGAGCCCAGCAGGTCAAGGCTGCGGTGGCTGGGAGCGGCCACTGCACTCCAGTCTGGGCGACAGAGTGAGACTCCAACTCAAAAAAAAAAAAAAAGAATCACTCAGTTATTTCTGTTCCTGCAAAGCCTTTCTAAATTCTCCTTTTTTCCATCTTGAGTTGTTTGCCCCTCTCTGTGGTTCTGGGGCAGTGGCTCTCAATGCTGGAGGATGCGGCAAAGCCAGGATTTTGGTCACTTCTTCCCTAAGGGTCATTTGACAATGTTTGGAGACATTTTTGGCTGGCACAGCTGGATCAGGAGAGTGCTACTAGTATCTAGTGGGTAAAGGCCTGGGATACAGCTCAACATCCTACAATAGAAAAACCCGCCCAACAAAGAATTATCAAGCCCCCAAACTTAATGATACCAAAGCTGAGAAACTCTGCTGTGTGGTGCCTTTGTCATACACTTCATAAAGACAAAATTGTCAACTGGCTGACCTTCCTAGCCAGACCACAGGCTCCATGAAGACTGTGATACTGGCATACTGTTGACACTCAACAAGGACTGAAGGAAGGTGGGAAGGTACATTCAGATTCAAATTTAGGACTCTCTGAGATCACGCTGCTTGTTTTTCCAGAACCATTTCCCACTTCCCTTTGGGCACTGTCATCAGTTGCTATCAGAGCATTTTACTCATTCAGCATTTTATTATATTTATTAAGCACTTACTGCGTACTAGCAGTGTTTTTGATACTGGGAATACAGCCATGAATAAGGCGGGCACCTGTTCTAATGAAGTTCATTTTCTTTCTTTCTTTTTCTTTTTTGTTGAGTTGAAGTCTCCCTCTGTGGCCCAGTCTGGAGTGCAGGGGCACACTCATGGCCACTGCATCTTCAACCTGCTGTGCTCAAGTGATCCTTCTGCCTCAGCCTTCCAAGTAGCTGGAACTACAGATGCACACCACCACTCTGGCTAATTTTTTGATTTATTGTAGAGATGAAGTCTCACCAAGTTGCCCAGGCTGGTTTTGAACCTGTAGGCTCGGGCAATCTTCTTATCCTGCCTCCCAAAGTGCTGGGATTCTAGGCGTGAGCCATTGTGTCCGGTCAGTCGAAGTTCATTTTCATGGGAGAGAGACAAACACTAAGGAAATGACGATTTCAGGCGGTGACAAATACTATGAAGAATATAAAAATAAAAAGCAATAGGGAATGATGGGGCAGGACAGCACATTCCAGCCAGGGTGGGCAGGTGACACTGCAGCTAATGATGAGAAAGAGCCAGCCATGAGGAAGTTTTGCCAGGGGAAGCCTGACCTTGGAGACAAGTGCAAGACCTCCTGGGCTGAAACCATGCGATGATTGGGGGAGTGGGGAAAACATGACATGCATGCCCTGGAAACAAGCCCCATGTTAGTTGTTTGGTTGACTGGCTAGTTAGTTGAGAGTTAGTTAGTAATTAGTTGAGACTGGGCCTCCCTATGCTGCCCAGGCTGGTCTCGAGCGCCTGGGCTCAAGCAATCCTGTGCCCACATCCTGAGCAGCTGAGGTTACAGGCGTGAGCCACCACACCTGGCCCTACTTTATATTTTTAAAAGATCATGCTGGCCTCTTCCATCATGTGAGAAAGCAATCACAAGGCCCCCTCTATGCTAAATGAGCCCTCACCAGAAGCCAGATATGTTGGTGCCTTGATCTTGGACTCCCCAGTCTCCAGATAAGGGCCTAGTACAGTCCTGTGCGTACAACAAAGCTTATTTTCAAGCATTAACCTGCTGGGGAGACTTTGGTACAGATGGGAGGGCCAGGGTTTATACTGACAACATTTAATGATTGCCATAGCACAGATACCCACCGATCAGAATGGAAACTGGTCTTAAAAAATATATATGGAGAAATTCTAGCAGCTCCTGGCTGAATGACAGTCCTGTGTTATCTGAGGTCATCTGAGTCCTCAGGAGTGGTCTTAGTGCTTTTGGGCTTCTGTCACAGAATACCATAGACTGGGTGGCGTATAAATAACAGAAATGTATTTCTCACAGTTCTGAAGGCTGGGAAGTTCAAGACCAAAGCACCAGCAAATTTGATGTCTGGTGAGGGTTCACTTCCTGGTTCATAGACTGCACCTTCTTGCTGGGTCCTAATATGGCAGAAAGGGCAAGGGACCTCTCTTGGGCCTCTTCTGTGAGGGTTCTAATCCCATGCATGAGAGCTTTCCCCTCATGGCCTAATGACCATCTTTTGAGGGGGCTAGGATTTCAACATAAGAAAAAAAAAAGATCATGCTAACTTCTCTGGGAGAATGTATGAATCATCTACTCTATTCAAAATCCACTGGTGAGTCGGGCTCGGTGGCTCAGCCTGTAATCCCAGCACTTTGGGAGGCTGAAGTGAGAGGATTGCCTGAGCCCGCGGGTTCGAGACCCGCCTGGGCAACTTGGCGAGACCTCATCTCTACCATAAACCAAAAAATCAGCTGGGTGTGGTAGCATGCGCCTGTAGTTCCAGCTACTTGGAAGGCTGAGACGGAAGGATCGCCGGAGCCCAGCAGGTCGAGGCTGGGTGACAGAGTGGGTGACAGTCCAGTCTGGGTGACAGAGTGAGACTCCAACTCAAAACAAAACAAAACAAAATCAACTGGTGTTCACATCCATGAGTTGAGGAGGGCCATGGGCCGTTTATTTGTTTTTGTTTTTTTGTTTTTGGGGGTGTTTTTTTTGCCTGGGGTTGAGCTTCAACTCAGGGTTGAGCTATCTGGTATGTTCCCATGTGTGGTCCTGAGACCTCGTGGGATGGGATAGATCTGGGGATGGAAGGGAAAGGAGAGGATGCTGGATCAGGCTCTCAGTCTACCACTGCATTTTGGTGTAGAGTCTGGAAGTCTGGGAATTCTAACTTTGAGCCCGGCCTTTCTCTATCATTAGGATGGTATCGTTGTCGAGGCAGGAAGATAGGATGTATTTAGTAGTTTGTTAGCTTGAGTTATAACTTTTATTTATTTTTTATTTTTTTGAGTTGGAGTCTCCCTCTGTCGCCCAGACTGGAGGGCAGCGGCCGCTCCCGGC